CATGGGATTTTGAGAGTCAAGAAAAATATTTTAGTTTATGCAGCTTCGATTGAAAACACATGCCGACCACTCTGACCACTGTGATACGAAGGCAGCACCAACACGCCGATGACACAGAACTTGCCGGAGTTCATGGTTGGACTTCCCTCCACACAGTCTCACAGCGGTTCAGGCTTCTTTACCTCATTTGATTTCTTTTCCAGAATTACCTGGAAACTGAGGCAAGAAAATAAATGAATCACACCCTCACAACGAATCTGTCCTCGTGTATTGTCTTGCGTGAGGTGTTTCAGTAGACGTAAAAGGTTGAAAAAATACAAAATCAAATTACAGGCACCTCAGGAGCCCTGACCGTAAAACCATGTCAACACACAGCAGGACTGTGTCTCGCTGGAAGAAAGGGTCGGCAGCGCCAGGCCCTCGCCAGTCGCCCCGGAACCGGCCGGGCTCTGCTGCCCACCCCAGACCAGGGAGGCCGGAACCCGGGGCCCGCAGAGCCCTGGCGCAGCAGAGAAGCCGTTATGGGAAAGCACAGTGTGCAGAGGGCCCACAAACATGTTTGAAAAGGAAGATGACCCCTTTGTCACAAGGAATTAGGCTTTATGGCCAGCGGCTGCCATGGGAACTGCGCCAGGTCTCTGCCTGTTTGGAAGGAGCCTGATTCCATTCTCGGGGGAGAGGGGGGCAGGCACAGCCCTTTTCCTTAGTTGTTTTCCATCAGGTAAAACAGGGAAAGGTGCTGGTTCTTTGCTCCTTTGTTTACCATCTCCAGACGCGCCCCCAGTGGGCCCACACGCAACAGGACCGGGCAGGTGCGCAGCCGACCCTGGGTCTCTGCAAGGCCGGGCAGTCCGGCCCCTCGGACGTGTGTCCTTTGAAATAACTTTCACTCTTTTTCTCTCTGGGGTGTTTGGTATCCGCAACGAGCTAACGGGGGTGCAGCCAAGATAAGCACTGCCAGGGGAACCTCGGATCCCAAGTCCTCTGCTTGCTTAAGAAATTTGGTTTTTGCCAGACGCTGGGCATGAAGAAGGCGGAATGCTCACAGTTACAGCCTTGAACAGTAAAAGCGAAAGATAAGTAAAAGCGAAAGATAAGTAAAAGCGAAAGATAAGTAAAAGCGAAAGATAAGTAAAAGCAGCGTTGACACAGAGCTGGCGCTGCCAGGCCGGCCGCCGTCACTGGAGGAACTGTGCGTGTGCGTGCGTGTGTGTGTGTGTGTGTGTGTGTGTGGAGGCGGGTGGTTCCCGGTCCCCCCCCCCCCCGGCCCCGCGCCCTGCCGTGTCCTGTGTCCGGCTCTCAGGTCCCTGCCGCCGGTCCGGCCCTTTCCTCGGGTCCCCTCAGTGGCGCTGGCTGACTGGTCGCGCTGCGCTGGTGGCTGTTGAGGCCATTGCGCGGCAGAGGCCCTGCCTTCCGCTCCGCCTCCCGCGACCCCGGCACCGCGGGGACCAGCGGCCATTCAGGGCAGCGGCCGGCCGGGAACAGGAGCTCGGCCACCTGGTTGTCTTGTCCTGGTCCTGGACGGAGCGTCCCTCTGCTCCCGCACCGGGGGACCCTCTGAAACCTCTCAGGCGCGTTGCCGGGTCGGACTCTCCCGGGACGCAGCGGCCCCCGGACGCGGCGCCTCCCGACCGAGAGCGACGGCGCGGCTGTCAGCCCCTCCCTTTTGGGAACATTCCCTAAGTTTAATCATTAAAGCGGGTCCTTAAAAGACGCGACAGCTGACCTCCCTGCAAATCCGCGCTGCTGCCCCGGCGCCCGGAGCGGCGACTGCGCGAACACCGGCTTTTTAAGAAAGACTCCGGCGGAGGGGGTCGTCCGCCCCGGGACGGGAGCGCGGCCCCGGCCAGACGCCCGGCAGCGGAGGGAGCGCGAGGCCGCGCTCCGCGGGTCTCACCCAGCGTCGCCGAGTCTCTGTCCCCACTTCCCCTTCTCGGATCCGGACGCCGGGACTTTCCGGCTGCGGGAGCCAAGCGCGGCGCTATCCAGGCCGCCGCCCCATTTAATCGGCGGCACCGGGCGTGCGCGCCCCGAAGTGACACCTGCCGGGCCCCCCGGCGGAGCGCGCGGCCGTCCGGACCCGGCGCCCGGCCTCGCTGCGCACCCCTCTTCCCCGGGAGCCCCCGGGCGGATCGACGGAACCTCCGCGGGGGGAGGGACGCGCCCGAACAAGGGCCAGGCCCTCAGGGCCAACGGGCGCGGCCGACGCCGCCGGGCGCGGGGCTGCGCCTCGAACCCGCCACGCGCGAGGGTCCGGCCCGGGGGCGGCGCGGCCGGCCGTGTCGGCGGCGAGTCGTCAGCAGGCAGCCGGCAGCCTGAGGTCAGGGGAAGGCCGGTGGCTCGAACAGGAGGGGACGGGACGCCGCGGGGGCGGGGACCAGCGCCAGGGAGGCCGAAACGTCGTTCTGAGCCGCCGCTACGAGGGGCGCCGGAAAGAGAACGCCACCCGCTTAGTGTGAGGCGACGTCTGCTCTGGGTGGGGACGGGCGAGTCCAAGCGCAGATCGCAGGCAGCACGTGCGACGCGCGGCCGGTGTGTTTGGGGACCTACCTGTCAGCTCCGCGGGGCGCGGATCTGGGCCCCGAGAGACGCCGAGGCGGCTGCCGGGCTCGTCTCGGCGGCGGGGAGCCCTGGGCCGCCCCCCGCCCACCCCGGCGTCTCCACCGGAGCGCCCAGCGCCACCTGCTCCTCGCAGAAGAGGCCCCGCACCCGGGGGCCTGCGGCCGCGTCCTGTCCTTCCCGCGAGCGGCCGGAGGGCGCGCCGCAGGGCCTCGCCGCCAGAGCAGCTGTTCACCCGCGGACGGCGAGGTCCTAAAGCTCCCGTTGCTGCGCGGGCCGGCTTGGCTTTTTTAAGTACCAGTAACACGAGTGAATGTAAGAGAAATACTTTCTCCTCCTACAGATAATAGTGAGCCGACGATCTTTACACTAGAACGCATTTCCTAACAGGTCTCTCCTGGTCCAGCTACGAAAAGCAAACGACCCCTGGAGCGGTTCTTCCTTTCATAGAAACAAAGGGAGTCACATCCAGCCTTGGACACCTAGGCTCGTTGCTTCGCGCGGAGCGAGGGTTTGGCCCAAACAGAAGAAGACGCGGAGCGTGTAGGGCCGGCGAGGCTTAACCGCCAACTTTCTTGCAAACGTGACTTGACTTTCGCGTGCGTTGCCATGGATACGCTCCCTCAAGGGGCTTCCACCGAAAACGCGGTCAGCCTTCACTGGGTCATCCTTGACCCAAGGCCACGCAAAGGTCATTTACTTCTGCTTTGGAGATGGAGGTGCAAGACTTAGAATTATGTGTCTCGGAGATTAGGAAACCATTCGCGCTTTCTCTTTGAAGAAGTTTTGACTATGTAATTAACAAAGATGACTGGAACGCTGAGCTGCTCTTTCAGCTCGCTCTGAATATTTTCTTTTCTCTGGGTGTTTTCTTTTCAGACCAACAAGCTTGTTAAAATGGCTAGAAGTGAATCGGCTTTCAACGGGGACTTTATAAATCGCCCGTGACTCACAGGTGCTGGGAGGGGCTCCTGGAAACCGCGGCCACATCCCTGCGGCGCCCAGAGGCCGCGAGGCTCCGAGAGTTAAGCGTGAGAGCCAGGTCACCACGCTGTCCCCCAGGAAATGGCACCTTCACTAATGTTTAAAGGCAGGGTCTCTGAACTTTGAAGCTTATCGTGACTTAATTATTGCCCCCCCACCCCGCTTTTAACTAGTCTCGGTGGCTCAGAAACTGACTTAAAAGCCAAGCTTTGTCTGTGCTGACAGTCACTCTCATGTTGGGGGGCGGGGGCGTTTCACGCATGATTCAGCGTCTGAGGATTTCTTGGACCTTACGCATCAGTGTGGCCCTACACACAAATGCTGGTGGAGACACAGGTGCGCCACTCAATTTGATACATAGGAAAATTTTCAGAGAAACACAACCTATTCTTCTGAAAACCATGCTAGCAGGGAAAAGTTATAAAACTACAGACTTATGAAAATTAGATATTTTATTTATAGTTTAACCACAAGAACAATTTTCTTGTTTTTAAAGAGGTAAATACATACTAGAATAAACTCTGTAGAATATACAAAAAAATACATACTTTTCCCATGAAAATTTTCTTTATAATAAATAGGGAGGAACACGTGTGTGGCTGATCCCCAAAGAGCTCCGTGTCTGCTTAGGTTTTCAGTCTGTTGATTTATTTTTAATCTCTTGAAAGAAAGGGGAGTTCCCTCTCCCCTAAAAGGTCGAGATAAATAATGCATGAGGCATCCCTTCCCTTTTCCTCCACATTTTTCCTTTCGATAGAGAGTTCAGCCTAGATTTCCACGCTTGCATTCAATCAGTACAAAGCCTACAAATTATACAATGACTTCTAACCTGGCCCTTTAACAAAACAACTTTTTCCCTTATAAATCATAAGAGACAGATGGCAAAATGGAGAAGAAAAAGGAAGGAGAAGGGTGGGACAATAGGTGTTGTGACGAATCTGGGAGACGGGACAAAGTGCACGTCAGGGGGAAAGTTTGGTTTGACAGGTGAAGTTCCCACAGCCGCGGGCAGCACTGGGAACCGAGCAGATGCCAGGCTCGGCGACTCTGTGGATAATATTATTACCAGTAGCGTCATTCAGATGCTAAGACGCGTTTCTTTCTACTCGACATTAACATCTCTATGCAGGAGCCGAGGGGACGGGACGCCGGGACCCGTTGCGTCCCGCGGAGGCGCACTCGGACGGCAGAGTCCTCGGCGCTGCGGAGGGGGGGGCGGGGGACACCCGCCACCGCCGCCGCTGCCCCCTCCCGGCGTCTTTTTAGCCCTAGGAGCGCCCCCTCCCCTGCACTCGACCGTCTTTTTGGCGATCGGCTGCGTCTCAGCCCGTCGGAATAAAGGAAGCCCTTCGCCAAGGGACAAACGGCCGAGAGGCCGGACGTCTGCGTCTGCTCTGGGCGCGAGCCGGTTTCCAGGGCGCGGGAAGTGGGGGGCGAGGCGCGCGGCGGGGCGCAGCCTAGGCGCACTCCCGGACCGCGGGGCGGCGAGGCGCGGGGCGGCGCTTGTCCGGCGGAGCCGGCTGCCAGCAGTCCCGGTCCGACCCCGCGGGGCTGGAGGGGGAGAAGACGCAGCTGTAAGGGGAGGTGGAGGTGGAGGGCGCGGAGGAGGGCGGAGCAGGGCTCTCGGTGCCGCTCCACGTGGACGCGGGCGACGGGCTCTCCCCCGCGCTGCCCAGGGCGCCGCCGGGGTTCAGCAGGGCGGCCTCGGGGCGCAGCGGGACGGGCAGGCCTCCGCCGCAGTGGTCAGCCAGGCGCAGGGTCTCGGTGAGCGCCCAGATGTAGTTGTGCGCGAAGCGCAGGGTCTCGATCTTGGTGAGCTTCGCGTCCTCGGGGAAGGTGGGCAAAACCTCGCGCAGAGCGTCCAGCGCCGCGTTCAGGTTGTGCATGCGGTTGCGCTCGCGGTTGTTAGCCTTCAGTCGGCGGGTCTTCTTGATGCGCTGCGCCGTCTCGGCCGTCTTGGCGCCGCGGGAAGCGACTCTCGCCCTGGAGGGGCGCCGCCGGCACTCGTGCCCCAGGCCCAGCAGCCGTGCCCCGGGCCCGGCCCCGCGCGGCCGGCGCGCCCCGCCCGGCGCGCCCCGCTCCTCGTAGTCCTCGTCCGCGCTGGACTGCAGCGGGGTCCGCGCCGCCGCGGGGGAGGCTGCGCCGAGCAACACCAGCATGTCCGCTTCCTCCTTCACTTCCAGGGCCTCGGATTTAACGAGCATCCTACCGAAGGGAGCGGGAGCGAGGGGGTGGGGGAGGACACCAAACGGGCGTCAACGCAGAAGCGTCGGTGTCCCGGAGGCGCGCGCGGAGGAAAGCCCAGTTGGGGAGAACCCCCCAGCGCCCCGCGTGGGGAGCCCGCGCCAGCCCACCGGTCCTGCGTCCGCCGGCGACAAAGGTCTGCGCGAGCCCAGGACGCTGACACGCGGCGGGACCTGGTGCGGGAGCCGCCCTCCGATTAAACACTTACTCAGCTCGCTCTCCAAGCGCGCGCGCGGCCGGGGAGGGACGCGTGCTCCTGCCGCGCGGGTCTCGTGCGTGTGCTCGCGGTGCGTGTCCGTCTGTCACTCAGCCCCGCGCCGGCGGCGTCCGGCACGCGACCCCCCGGCACTCCAGTTAAAGCGAAGCGGTTTGTGGTTCAGTGGCTGCGTGTCTGGCACACGACTCTCCTTAAAACCCCTTATATACCCCCCGGAAAACAATCGGATCGCCCCCAGGCCCCCTTCCCCTCCCCCTCCCTGAGCCTGCCCCTCCCCGCTGCCCCCTTTCACCGCTTTATTGCCATTCAGTCCTTTCTCTCTTCGCCTTCCCCCTCCCCCGCCTGCCGCCCCCCCATCCTCCTCCTCTAGCCCCTCCTCCCCCTTTATCTAATCAGCATAAGATGATTCCAAAGCCGCCGCCGGAGCTCCGGGCTGTGCTCGGAGCTCCAAGGCCGAGGCTGCCGCCAGCGCCTCGCGATTGGCGGCTCGCGCTCGGCTGGAGCGTGCCGCTAATTTATTAATGAATGGAGGTCGCGAGACGCAGCTGGCCAATCCGCGCGCCCGGGACGCCGGCAGGGCCGCGAGCCACGCGCACCGAGCCCGCTCCCTTTCAGCCGCGCGGCAGGGGCCGCGGCCGGGGGCGGCGGGGCCCCCTCCCCCGGCCCGCAGATGCGGGTTCGACCCCCGGGGAGCGGCCGGCCCTGGTGCCGCGGGCCCCCGAGGGGCAGAGCCTCCCGGGAGCCCCCCCAACAGTGAAGGAGTTTAAGCACATCACTCGGTTCAGCGAAGAACGAGGTGCGGGTGGCGCGCGGTGGGCACGTGGGGACCAGCGCGCTCGGCCCCGCTGTAGCCGAGGCCGGAGGGCAAAGGACGGGGCGTGGCAGGACATGCGGAGGCACCTCCCGGGGGGCCCTCCAGAGGGGCGCGGGGCTGTCCCAGGACGGGTGACCAACCCAGGCTCCGGGCCGTGTCGCGGCTCAATTTGGGGGGTGACCCCAGGAGCCCCCCTGCGCGGAAGGCAGGAGCGGAGCCGAGGGGCCCCCGACCGGCTGTCCCGCAAGCTCATGGGGCTGCGCTGACATTTCCGTGACCCCTGCTCCGCGCTGGGGGCGTTGTGGGGACATGGGGCCCGGCCTCCCGATTCTCCCGGCTTTTCAATAGGAAAAAAGGGCTCAAGGGCGCCGGGGCTCGGGCAGCTTGTTCTGAATTGCTCGCCAGCCCCTCCCTGCTCCTCCCGCGCTCACGCCAGCCCTCTTGTCGCCCCGGCTGCCTTTTCTAGGGACAAGCCCCGAGCCGGGTGTGTGCACACCAGAGGAGTGTGCGGGCCGGGGGGCGGTGTGGGCCGCGGTGAGTCTGGCTCCCGCCTGCAGGGCCGTCTCTTGCGATCCCTTCTGCGAACCAGGTTGGAGCCAGAGCACTTGGAATGTTAGGAGTTGAGAGGTGACAAAAACACTGTTGTCTGTGCGTCTGTCCGGTTGGGACTGTAGGAACTGGGAGCAAGTTATTTTTCAGAAGAGGCGAAGGTGGTTCTGATCTGTGTAACGTTTTCTTCGGGGAGAAACAGCAGGTCTGGGAAGCTCGAGTTAAAAAGTGAAAATGTGAGGGAGGCTGTCACGCGAGGCGGGTCCCCACCTGCCAGGCTCCCTTCTGTCTTGGAATCGTTTGAGAGGTGCTGCGCTCTGCGCCCCGCTCCCCAGCATTTGTGTGGCGTCTCCCCCGCCTTTTAAAACAAACCCCCTACGTGTGAAAGCACAGTTTTCCCAGTTCCCTCCGAGTCCTTTCAGAAGAACTTGATTTCCCTGGGCAGAGGCGCAGAAGTTTGAAGAGGCAGTGTCTCCCTCTCACCCTCCTTTGGTCTCGTCTGCACCACGAACCTGCTGAGCCAGAACCTCGTAAAAGACTCGGATCCAGTGAAAGACAAGACAGGAGAGAAAGGCGCCAGAAGGCACATTAGCCCTGATTTACAGGCAATGGTCAGTGACACCAAACCCACCAGGACGCCGGCCGAGGCTTTGGCGAGCCGGGTAGGGACTGAAGGAGCACGTGGCTGTGGAAGCAGGGTTCCCGGGTTAATGCGAATGAAACAGACTGAGAAAGCTGGGTTCCGAGGACGTGATCGAGGTGCTGAAAGTAAACGCTGAAGCAACAGCATGAACCTTGTATATCTGCATCTCGCTGCTGCAGCCAATGGAAAACAGGGACCATTTATTTTAGTAGCTGTTTGGACAGGTGGTTTTCAAATGCTGGTTTAGCTGGAAGTGTTGGATTGATTCTATTGGAATGCAGCTCATTGGAGGCTTAAGGAAACCCAAGGAGCCTTGTGTGACCACAGGCCAGAGACTGCTCAGTGCTAGGGACACACATAAGGGTGACTGTGTGTGTGCGCACAGTATTGAGGGTCAGACCCCCGGGATTGGTGTTCTCCTGAGGTTTTATGTCTTTATGATGCACTGACAGGTCCATGGTTTCCTTTGTCAAAGTCCAAGCTTCCCGTACGAGCACCAAGCTAATGATGCCTAGTTAAGTGTGCCTGGGGATGGGAAGGTATTCGGGTCAGTTGCACATTTCCGATTCCAGATATTCCCTTCAAGAGGAAAAGTATGCCAAGAAACTTAAGGCTGTGGACGTATTCGAAGGCCGACAATAAACCGGTCTCCATGTAAATGTGGAGAGAGCATAGAGTTTATAGGACTTTATTTACAAAGTAAGGACTTCTCCAGGTGTGTGCAGTGTGGTACGGTGGACTGTGCAGACCCTTTGGAAAAGCACCCTCTAGACAGAGCAGGTTGAATACGCATCTACGGCTTTCGATTGTGTGTTGTAGTCACTTTTAAGAGAAGCATCCCTTCTGGTAACACTTCTGGAAATATCTCCTGCTATGAAGACTATTACTTTTTTTAGAAGAAACAGCGCCAAGAAAAATGTAACAACCTACTGCAATGGAGAAGCCAACCGTTCATACCCAGTCCCAGAATTCCGTGTGTTCAGCATTGCGCCGGTTTTGCTGAAAGCAAGCACTTTGGATTGGCGGTCAGATTCGCAACGACGCGACCAACGCGGCGCCCTTAGCGGGACGCTTCTAGGCCTCTTTTAACTCAAATGAATTCAAGAGGCTCTTGTGTGGTCCACGAGATTGTCCGGATGCAGCGGGGCTGAAACGTGGGGGAGGGGAGGGCGGGGCGGCCTCAGCGAGGGTGGCCACGGGCGGCTGCCCGCCGCGTGAACTGTCCTGAGGGGTCAAACTGTTCATCCCCAGCCGCTTTCACAGCGCGATCCCACTTTAAGGGAACAAAAGCTCAAAGCGGGCGGTCGTCCAGAAATGGGACCCCGTGATTTACACTCAGGGGCCTCAGGGAGAGCGGCCGAGGGCGTGTGGGGACCAGCGAGGGCAGCGTCGCCAAGGCTTTGTTGCTCCAAGAAGCTTGAATTCCTCCGCGACGGCCCGGCGCTGAGGGTGGGTTCTGCCGAGGGGCCACCGGCGACATGGCATCCACACGTCGACCTCACAAACGGCCAGAGGACAGCGGTCCCCGTGCCAGGCTCGGCTGTCGCAGGGGAGGGGGTCGCTTTTCCCAGAGAGTACAACGGTCCCCGCGAGCCAGTCCCCAAGTCACAAACTGCAGGACGCCCCGCGGAGTCCCTGCGGGGCGGGGCGGCGTCGGCCGTGTCCGAGGCCGCCTGGCGGGCCCGCAGCCTTGATTTCGGGGCGAGCTCCCGCCCCCATCCCGGCGCCCCCTCGCCCTCAGGTGGCGCCGCGGCCCGCGGGCCTTCGCCCGGCTCCGCCGCAAACCCGGGGCGTCCGCCGCTTCCGACCTCGGACCCCGAAGCGTCAGCGGCGCGCGCCCGGAGCCGAAACGCGGGGACGGACGGGACACCCCGCCATCCCGGTGGCAGCAAGGCCTGGGCCCTGCGCCCCTGCTCTGAGGGCGTCGCTTGTCAGCGCTGGAAGGGACGCCCGACGCGACAGGCTGGCAGAGGCTGGGCGGTGGGCGTTTTTCTCCTTCTCCCAAGTGGCATTTCACGCGTGTCAGGTGGGGCGCGCAGGGCCAGTCGTCTTGGGCCCCACCCCGTGGACCCCGACGCCCCAACTCCTCTTCCCTCCGCCCCCGTTTCCATCTCACCCCCGACGAGGTTCACTGTCCTTCACTTTCTCCGGCAACTGCGCTTTTCCGGGCGGCGAAGGTAACCCGGGGACCTAGGCGGGCGCCCCTCGCCTGTGAGCTCCCAGCCTCGCGTTCGCCAGCAGAGACGCCGGACGTGGGGCTGCGGGCGCACGTCAAGCTGACTTTAAAATGTTTCGGATGGGTATTTAATTTTTGAAAATCATGAGGGGTGCTTAGTAGGACCCCCATTTGCAGACCACATGCGTACCTCAGCCATCGAGAGAACTGTTAACATGCACATCCTGGAGAAATAGATTATTTATAGCGCCTATTTTTTTGCCACTGGAGTGTGGTCAATTTTCTTCTGTGTTTTCCAAGTAAATTGTGGAACATTTACAATCAGAAATTATTGCTGTAAAAGCACAGTCCATCTGTCTTTTGCCGTCTTCACCGACTGGAAGTAAGTTTTCGGACGTCAGCGACGGCTGCAGAGGGCTGGGAGGTCACAGCGCTTGCCCACCGTTAAAACCGAGGCCGGGCCCGCTGCTGGGAGGCTGCAACCTTCCCCTTAACGCTCTGCAGTGCAACCTGGCTGAACAGACAGATGCGCAATGCAGGGCGAGCTCCCAGCGGTGTGAT